ACTCATGTAAAGAAGGTTCAAAAATTTCGCGACCCATTATCGCAGAGGGGGGGATTCCCCTCGTATACACTGCTTCAGATCTAGCATTTCCTATTTTTTTTGCATTCGGGGTAATCTAAGGGCAGAGTTCACGCCTTTCATCGCCGCGATTCTTCCTACAAGAAAAAACGAGTATATTGCATGCCGATCATCTTGCCTTTCGGTTGTGTTAGTTCTCCAACACGACCATTCGTGCCTAACTATCACGACCGAAATGCAGGATGCAGAATGCAATGGACTCGTAACTGTTTGTCTTGTTTGGGATCGCGGCGATGAAGTCGCGTGAACTCTGTCCGAGGCCTAAGGCGGTCTGTCTTTAGGCTCCGTCGTCCAAGTATATGTTTACAGAACATTTCCGGACCTCTTAAACAGCTACAGAATAAACAACAACGAAAATGTTCTGCAATATCGCGTTATACAGCGCTGCCACGCACAGTTTGACGTCGGCATGTGTTAAAGCGCTCAAAACAAAAACTCGCAAGCGGAGCCCAGCGCCCGGCACAGGTTGGCTTCAAGCAATCTGAGAAAGAAGCCCCCACAGCTTCACCAATTTATTACCTGTAAAAAATTATGTGATGGGGGGGGGGAGGAGCACAATAATACAATGATCAAATACAACAAGAAAATAACAGCTCGTTTCAGAACAGCTTTCAATGAAAAGATAAACGTCAGTGTGCACTCTTGCAAGGAAGATAACGACACTGCTTCGGTTTATCGAAGCAACAAAAAAACTTATGGCAATGACATTCCCTCTCCGCACCTCCACTCGCAGCAGCGAGTCGTGCATAAAAAAATAACTAGAGCCTCAATTCACTCTTAGCATCTTTAATAAATTGCCTAAGTAGTGAAACGGAGCGCCTTTTACATCAAAGCTTATCAAGTTAGATCTATATTGCCAAAAGGGGGGAAGCAATGGTTTAATTCTCTCTCCTCAGCCAATGGTAAATCTCCTGGGCCTTCAAATATTCCTTTCCAAAACATCCCCAATTCATGTGAACTTTCCTATACTCCGGTGGAACTGAGTTGGGTTGGTGATGATCTAAAAAACATTGAATTCGAGAACAGGTATTGACACATAAATTCCGAAGTTTTTTGCATGTACAGTCGGCAGTAATATTGTACACCTGAGGCGGTCTCAGGTTTCGTTTGGGGAAGGGGGAGGACTAAATTTTTCGAATGAGGTGTGTGGCGTTAGCCACGCACTTCGGGATCGAATCTGGGCATGTGTCAATGTGCTTTGTAATATAGCCATTTCTTTATTTTGGTTCATTTTGAACTCGCGCGTTTTTTGAAAAGAACACGTTCAAGCAGGTCTGTAATGTAACATAGCAGGTGTGCGGAGGTCAGACGTATGTATGCATGTCTAACATGTTTTGAGATATCTACTCTACAGACTTCAGCAATTGCTCCCAAAACGATGTTTCGTTTGACAAAGCACATCTGTACAGAGTCCTGTGGATGACTTTTGGTATCCTCTCGTTTAGATCAAACAGTGGAGCAGTGTCTCACCAAAGTTGAAGTCGCGCGGATCTCCATATATTCTATTATAGGGACCTCTAAATAGGCCATTGCAACAAGTCCCACTCAATTTGACCCCTTCACGCTGAGAAAAGTTCGCTCAAAGTGGTACGCGGAGAGCGATTTGGTACGCGCGGACGACTCCTTCGGTCTCCCCTTACACGTTTGATCATGTCTCTCCACTTGACATCGACCTCCCCTCTGTTGCTGCCACTGTGGCTGAGGCTGAAGTTGGAAGGCACAACTCGCACACGTTGCTTCCGCGGGGCCTCCAGAAAAAAAGGTTTTTGGGAACTTTGTGCGATTTTAAGCTATACAGTGCTAGACAGGGTCCGACATTTTTGCAAAATGCAAAAATCCCGTCCACTAAATTTTGGTGAGACACTGCCTTCAAGGCTTGAAAATAGGTATAGAGCTTTCACTAATCGTGGCGATGACGCGGCCGCGCGCTACAGGCACGCACCTCCTGGCAAACGCATTTCCTAGGTTTTCACTTCTACTCGAATGGTTTTTATGCTTTGTGACACTATTTAGACAATGAAAGCGACTGAGCTGAGATTTGAGGTGATGCCTTTTTCGTTTGACTGTTTTCTGCTCTTGTGGACGCAAAGACCGCAGTCATTGTCGTCATGAATTTTTAAACGACCTATACCTAGTGCCCAAGTTCAGCTCATTGACATCGACTAATTTTCAATGACGGCGCTGTGGGACGAGCGATTTTGCACAACACTTTTGGTGTGGGAAAGTTTTGTGATTATTTTTTGTACAAAGCTACAATCATCTTCTTGGACGACAAAGTATACAGTTTCCATGAGTGCAAAAAAATGGAAAAAATACTAGAGTGTGGAAAAAAGAAAAGACCTGAAAAGGATATGGTTTTGCAAGGGGTGGAGACCACTTGTGGTCCACATCGTCCCTGGCAACATACAGTGCGTGGGCCACCGGTAGTCTACATCCACGTTAAGCAAAGAGAGTTGTAGGCTGTTGCATGACAAAAGCACAGTAGCTTTGGGCGCGAACGCAGCTCTATTAGCCGCAGAGCGCATGAGGCACAGGATTTACAACGGTGAAGATATGCGCGCGCCGCGTTCGAGCCCGCTCAACTAATACTGCTTCTGCGCCTTTGTCATGCAGTAGCCTTTAGATATTGCGCTGGCGTCGGAACTAGGGTGTTCCAGAAAATGTGATAGTTGATAACTCTTTTTCAAACAGCTTTCGCTGACTAGGTAGCATATTGTAGGGCTGGCTCAAACTCTGATTCACTGAAGAAAAAGGATCATCGAATAGAGGCATCTTGCTCCCAAAATGTCTCAAGAAGTTGGAAACATTGTTACTCAAATAAGCATGCTGATTCCATATAAAAGCTTTTCGCTTCTATACATCATTCAATTCACAGGTCAACAGATGGATCGTAACAGTGGCTTTCTAAAGAATCACGAATGTTGATTATACCTTCTAAAATGCTCTATAAATAGGTACAAAGCTATTTATTCAGGACAGTTCGTATAAAAATTACGCCAAGAAAGTTTCTAGTCGCTTTAAAAATTTCCCGATATTGCTGCTGAATTACAATGATGGTATACTGCTGGAAATTACTACAGTAATCCTACGTGAAGGAAATTATTCTTCACTCATTTTGTATTGTGCTAGGTTGAAGCTAGCCCTACAATTTGCTACTATTCCGCGAAAGTGATGAGATAATAAATTTATTAGCAGTCAACTCTTCGATTTTGTTCGGACACCTTGTAGCACAAAACTAAGAGCCCCATGACAATCTCATCAAATCTGGCGCCAATGTCAAGGGCTCAGTAACCAAGAAGATTGTTCAAATGACCCCATTAGGGATTATCTATCTTTAAGCAGCCTTCTAACTTCCGCATTTACAAAATTATTAGCTTAAAATGCATTTGGTGCATTGACGCATTTTTTTAGAGGTTCTAGTTTCTATATATGGAAAAATTCATTCTAAAGGTCATTAGCAGGCACTGGGGAATAGCTCTCGAACATTTTGTCACATACTAAAGAACTTTGCTCTGTGGCACCACGCATACGCAAAATATCTGAAAAGGCCACTGTTCGTGGTCAGAAGCACTTTATCGATTACCAATAAGAATCCGAGACGCAAAAATGGTGCAAATTGGCTCATTCGCACCAAGTCTTGCATCCTACTTTGCTTGGACATTTTGTTCGACGGAGTGAGGTTGAAGCCGCAAGGTGCAGTTAAAAATAGTCGAAGGCCACTTTGATTTGAGCAGAATTTTCGCTGAATATAGTGCACTTACGGTGCTCGGAAGATGCGGTAAAATCTGAGCGTGAACAAATAGCTACACCTGTGACGCCGGCCGCTTGCGCGCGCAAAAGGCCGGCATCACTGGAGTGGCTATTTGTTCACATGCATTTGTTCGGCACCGCAAGCACACTGTATCAAGTGAAGAATCTACTTGATTTTGTATGCTTTTACGCTGCTGTCAACATGTAAAACTTCAAGGTGACACATTTATATCAAACTAATGAACATAAAACAGCCATGGAAATTAAATAGAAATGAATAATAATACTAAGCACTAAAGAATCAATAAAATACTGCCATTTTCAAACAAGAAAGAAATTCCAGTAGATTACGCTGGTACGAAGTACCGATCCTTTACGGAATCACATCGTGATTGACTGAACGGCAACTTTGAGAAAACAACACGTGCAACTGAAATGAGCGCATTCATTCTTCAAGCTACCCTCAGCCTTCAACATGATATTGATGGTGTTGACGTTGCTGCTGGTAATTTATGTGTCCAGTAACATCTGTCAAACATCTCTCAAAAGTCCACCATTGAACACTGTACTTTGACTCGAATGTCTCAATGCTCCAAAATAAAACATCGACTTTGAACTTCTTAATCTTCGCACGCGACTCCTTACATTGTTGTGAAGTCTTTAACATTCTCCATATCAGTTTTTGCAATCTTATAGGGCAAAGAACTGCACAGATGTCATGCACTAAGCAAGTTTAGCTAAGTAAGTCTACGTTTTTTTTTGAACAGTAGACTACCTTATCAAGGTGAACATCCCATAAAGGTATGCCCGTAAGAAGCTTAGTAAGGCAAAGAACTGCACAGATGTCATGCACTAAGCAGGATTAGCTAAGTAAGTCTACGTTTTTTTTGAGCAGAAGACTACCTTATCAAGGTGAGCACCCTATAAAGGTATGCCCGTAAGTAAGCTGTTAACAATCTCCAAATAGTGTTTTTATTATCTTGTGACATTCTTACAAATTTAGAGGCCTTCAATTCAAGCCAAATTCACAGAATTTTTCTGAGTATGTCAAAAAATTCTAACTCCTCTAAATTTTATGTTAACATAATGAGAATTTATTAATCTAATAACAAAACACACACATACCAGCGATATTTGCCTAATGAATATATCACCAAATGACGTAAAATCCCAGAACATCAATCTCCGTTATTTTCAGACATGGGTAGTTTATTCTACATCTTGCCATGCCTCTTAGTCAGCGTTGCTGCTGATCCGTAAGTTTTTGAGCACTGAAACGTTTCAAGTTGCGCACAAATTTTTCTCCAGATACGATGATCCGCACACACTATGGAATCGCCAAACTATGGTGCATTTGTTCGAATGGAAATGGTCAGATATAGCAAGAGAGTGCGAAAATTTCTTACAACATTACGGTTACGGTGCTGTGCAGGTAGAGAATTTTGAATGAAAACAAGTAGTAAATTAGGCAAAGACTGACATTTTTTAGGTTTCTCCACCCAACGAGCATATTACGTTAGATGGTATGCCATGGTGGATTAGGTAGGCAGTCTCTAGGAAGTGTAAAAATTAGAAAAAAACTGAACCCTTTGTAGGTATCAGCCAATTAGTTACAACCTTGTTTCTCGTAGTGGAAACGAGGGCGAGTTCCAAGATATGGTCAACAGATGCAATGCTGTTGGTGTAAGGTCAGCAGAAGTTGATAGGAAAAGAACATTTTCTGCATTTTTTTTCACAGTAAATTAATACAGAATCGTTGTCGATGTGGTCATGAACCATATGGCTGGTGTCGGACAAAAATCCGGATGGGGAAAAGGTAGTAGCGGAGGATCGAGCTTCGATGCAACCGACGGAGTGGAAAGCTTCCCTGCTGTAAGCGATTTTTTCTTAGACAATGACGAGGCTAAAAAATGTCACTTCTAGGTTCCATACGGGGTGAATGACTTCAATGACTTCAGATGCCATGGGGATATTGGAGGATCGGATTACGGAAGCAACGCCGCTAATGTAAGCGAATGAAAATAAGACATTATGTAATTATTCTTGGTAAATCTTGCAGGTCAGGAACTGCCGACTTGTCGGACTGCTTGATCTGAATCAAGGCAGCCCATATGTACGAGGAAAACTCATAGGTTATCTGAATCATCTTATTGACATTGGAGTGGCAGGATTTAGGTTCGACCCTCGTGTTTTTAGAGATAAAACTAACAGAGATAGAGATAACAGCAAAACTTGCTTAAAGGTTCGATGCTTCAAAGCATATGTGGCCTGGCGATCTGGAGGCTATTCAAGGAGGAACGAAAAACCTGAGAGCAGACGTAAGAGATGAAAAAAATCATAGGTTTTAGCATAACTTGGGAATGGAAAACTTTGATTAAAATCACCATTAACTAATTTTGTAAATGTTACCCAGCAAGTTCATAGAGCGGAGAAACTTATCTGTATCATAATCTATAGAACTCTACCTCTACAATTCCTTCCTGCTTATCCAGAATTCGCTCATAAGCAAACCCTTCAGATCTTCGGAGCCAACCAGCGACCTTTCGTCGTCCATGAAGTAATTGACAGAGGAGGTGAATCAATCAAGTGCTCAGAATACTGCCACATTGGAAGGTTAGTTTTATGAGATTATTTTTTGGGCATCCGCTCTGACTAAAAACATTTCAGATACACTAACTTCAACTATGGTTCCCCGATATCCGCAGCAGCACGAGGGCAGGCGAACTGGAAGTAAGCTATGCTGATTCAAATGATGCATTTAACAGTACTCCTTTTTTAGAGACATGGGATACATGGGACCTGGATGGGGATACGGTAACCATGCAGATAATGACGTGCTGGTCTTCATCGACAATCATGACAACCAGAGAGATGGCTATCCAGTGAGACATGCACTCCTTCTGAGTGCAAAAGCAGCTCAAGGTCTTCTCGGGATAAATGGCTTCTGCTTAGGCTACATACAAAGAAGGAGATACATACCGTCTTGCTGTAGCGTTCATGCTGGCATGGACATATGGTTATCCACGAGTGATGAGTAGCTTCTACTTTGGACATAAAGACCAGGGACCACCAGGCGGTGGTCCCTGGTTCAATGGGGATGGTACATGCTCTAGAGATTCGGGTTGGGTATGCGAGCACAGATGGCCGACAATCAGGTACAAATTGCTTAAGAACTGATGTGAACATAACCGGTTCAACTTATCGGATTTACGAATTCAGGGAGATGGCCAGATTCCGAAGCACATGCGCGGGTGCACCAGCTGTCGAAAAAGTTATTGAAAACAATCACGTCGCTTTCGCTCGGCAAGGGAAAGGATTCTTTGCCGTTAACGGACCCGGGTGGGATTGGACCAGGTATCTTCAAGCTTTATACCAGAACAAGTCTAAGGCAATGTGTTCCTTTACAGGACCTTCCAGACAACTCTGCCTGCTGGGCAATATTGTGATGTCTACAATGGCCGTGTGGAGAATGGAAGATGCACTGGAGCGACCATTAATGTAGGAAACAACGGTAAGCAAGGGACTCGGCAACTCTTCCGCATCTTTGAGTGTAGAACTTTATGATTTTCTTCTGAGTGTTCAGGAATGGCCCAGATAACCATTGGCACCAAAGCGGCAGTCGCAATCTCACTTGCCTCCAAAGTCGGTGAGTACTTCACTTTCATCGTTAGATATCTGCCTTTCTAAAACTTGATTTAAGGTTCCCAACCAGGGCCAGGTCCACAGCCGCCACAGCCGACACAGAAGCCAAAGCCTGAGCCCACGGGTCTCACAAAAACTGTGATTTTCCTTAAGCGCGACACCATGCTAGGAGAAAACCTCTTCATCCGTGGTGGAAATAGCCATGGCAACGGAGGAGGTATTTCCAGAGTTTTAAAGCCACAATCATTTTGAGGATCAAGTAGAAATTTTTCAGCATGCGCGTCAGGACCATACCAGCAGTCAAGTGATAAGTGCGCTATCCCGATCTATCACAAGACTACGGTACCAAACAGCTACGCCACATACAAGTCATGGAGTCAGGGCGATTACTACCTCGACTTTGAAGGACCAGAGCAAGGACAAGGTGATCGTTGGCAGATCGTTGACAGAAGTACTGACTTGGACTTATGGCTCACATTTAAGGAACATATGAAGGACAAACTGCATTTGGCACACCTCTAGCCTACTCTACCAACGATCCACAAACCCAAGAATACCAGCCGTACAACAAGTACGGTAAAGGCTACTGGATGGTGGAGGTAAACATGGATTGCTCGAAGACTGACAATGGATGGTTCGAACTCAAGGTTAAACATTAAAATACATTCAACTGCTAGGTTAACATTATTTTCCTTTAGGGCTACTTGAATACTGCTGGATGGGAGGGTGACATCAATCAGGGCAGCTGCACTGGTGGCGTTGGAGGCACTGCTCCATTCAAGAGCATCAACCATATCGCCAAATGTGGAGCGGTAAATGTGTTCGAATGGGGATCTGGCAAATGCATCATTGACGCTACCTAATTTGGTGCAAATGAAATCAAATGAATAGTAAAATTAAACTCCTTTTTAGATAAAAAAAATTCGTATCAATGGTAGTTTTTACGCTGGTTCACTGTTTAACATATACTGATATAATAAGTAGCAACAAGGCACACGCACACAAGCCTATCACTTTATTAGTACATACAGAATTGCTGACACTGAGTCGTCTGGTTACGGTACTCCATTCCAAGAGAAAGTTCGAGAAAACGGAACGGATGACATTCAGATAGTGAAGCAGTATGAGCTTGAGAGCGCACACTCACAATCATCCGTTCAGATTTTACCCTGGTTGAAAATCATGGTCATGGGAAGGTAAACGATCTGCCATTTTGAGCCGCCTCTGAGGACAAGTGGTTTTTTTGTAATGATGTTGCGCGTCGTTTGAGGACCAGTTGTCCACGGCTGCCCAAAATGGCGTTTTCCCTACATACCTGCGAATCATTACCATTACGACTGGATCACACGTCACGATCATTATCAACAAAAGGTTCGCCATCAGCCTTTACATCATCATCGAGACATGTACCTAACAACGAAAAGATACTTAGTGACCGTGACCATTTGTAATGGGACGCATATCATTAAATGCATCTCAAGACGCTGATTACAAATCTGCTTCCGCTATCTGTTAAACGATTGTCTGAAATATGCTGTGAGCTTTTTTCCGCAAAATTCTCGCACACTCATGCTGAACAGAATCGGTAACATTTAAGCTTTTGAGGATGTGAACGCAACGCGATGTGCTACCCAAGCTTAGATGAATTGTGGCCTTCCCCTGGGCCGGTAGTAATCCCCCCGATCTGGCGGCAGGTCTGGTTGGCAGGTCGCTGGCACCTTTTCCGTGAGGTGGCCAGAAAGTGACACCCCAAATTTAGGCCGTCCCAGGCCTTTTTCCAAAAAATTTTCTCGATAATGATGCCGCCTCGACTCTGTAGAAAACTCCATAAAAGTCTGCGGTTCCAGAACTTCTTCTTTAGAAAAATATCTGGAAGCGCAGGAGGAGCTGCCGGCAACCTCGCGATGTCAGTTGCCGGCAACCTGCCGGCAACTCGTCGAAATCCGCGAGATGGCAGCTGCCGGCAGGTCAGAGAGCACGGTAAATAGCGTGCTCTTTTGAGAGGGAGCTGCCGGCATCTCGACGTGCCCCTACCACGTCGAGGTGGTAGGGGCACGTCGAGCTGCCGGCGGAGTTGGCATCTTTCCGCGATGTGTGCCAACCTGCCGGCATCTATGACACCACCATGTAGGGTAGATTACTACCGGCCCTGATGTTATGAGGAGCGAAACAAGAATTCTGAGCAACGTTTATACTTCTCATGAGAAGAAAACGTTCATAAATTATGTATTTAAAACAATCGCCTAGCAGACAATAAAAATAGATTTGAAATGAGCGTATCAAGGCACGTCTAGTACCACTATGTGTCTCATTACGAATGATCACGTCACCAAGTATCCTTGCCTATTAAGCAAAGAAAAGTGCCTATAAGGGAAGGATATTTTTCTCTACTTTCTCTCTTTAAAATCAACTTGAATAGAAATCGGCACCCAGCACTTCTTATTAGAAACCAGGGAACGTTCTTCTATATACAGACCATGGCTTTTCTGCCGACATCTTTACGCAAAGAAAGACACAACTTCAAAGAAACAAAGGTTTTTCACCAAATTCTTGAGATCTAGTTCTTCTCATCGCAGTGAGTAGAATAAGCTTTTTATATTTATTAGCTTCTTGTCTCACTAAGCATCATTAGAAAACCCGAGACAGAAAAGCGATTTTCTGAGTTAGCCGTATCAGCAAGACAGCTGTTATCTAACGTGGCTTAATGCTTTGTAAGTGAATTTGCTATCGACAGCTACGAAAAGGTTGTAGAATTCCTGAATCATAGCGAGAAAAAAACTGATATAGTTATCTTCTATCCAGCCTCAGTGCTTCCGTTTTACATCTGCTCGGATACACTTCTGAAGTGATCGAATTTTCTATGATGCTGATCCACCCTTCTCCAAATATTGAAGGAGGAGTTCCGAAAGTATGTATGCACTGTTTGATCTTGAAATCTCTCTTCCCACAAAGGCTCTGAGTTGCTATAATTGTTGTCTGTCAAAGCAGCAACTTACAAAATTGACTGAGCTTTTTTTTTCTGAAGTCAATGCTCTTTCTGCCGAAATCCAAAGCTCTGGAAAATATCCTGCTAGATCAATCTCAGGTTTGTGAGCTTTGATTCAATTATGTTACTTTCCGTTATTCTTGAATGTGAGATAGAAGACATTTCATCATTCTACTGCTTTACCTCGCGTTATGCTGTTTCTGTTAAATTAATAGCACGCCGATGTGGTTATGATAGATAAATATGCATCATGACTGTAAGTTTAGCATACTTTTTAGGATACTCACAATTAGAACCGTGCTTCGCTATAACTATCATCGTCTCTCAGATTCGTGTAAGGCGAAGTCATGCCAAATTAAAGCGGTTTCAAATAGCGACAGATTACGAACAGCAATACCATAAAGTGAGATTTAACAAGTGTACCCAAGTTTCAGATGATCGCGATCAGCCTCCACACGGATGTGGGGGCCGATCATAGGCCGCGGACATACCTCACGCGATTTCAGTCGTTTTAGTCATTTGGCAATACTCCAAATGTTCATGACTCATCCTAGGGGGTTTCCGAATGTACGGAGGAGGTTCATTTTATCAATCTACGAAAGTTATACATGCTGTGCATTTGGGGTCTACCAGTATTGGATTTGAAAACATCTGGCAAATTGCCAGATCGCGTGGTGACTGAAATCGCGTGAGGTATGTCCCTTGCCATAGGAATTCTGCTAGGACGCAAACATTCTTCTCATTTCCGTATAGAGCAGTCTAACGAGATGTGTGTTAAAAACCAATTTTGGAAGACTAAGCTGAGGATCTTGATGGATGGTACGGGATTAGACCGCACGGTGATCCGTGTTCATCAACAAAAACAATGTAGCTGTCGAAACAAACGCTTTATATTAGGTTGGTGCAAAAGTTCTTTCGCAACAAATTCAAAAATTCATAACTTGTTAAATTCTAAACGAATCTGCAAGGTCTAAATTTTCTATAAGAGAGGAACTCATGCTCTTTGCAACCGTACTTGAACTGTTCGTTAATGTATACAAATAAAGGAGCTAGAAGCTCAAAACCAAAATCTTTTGAAAAGAATTTTCGTGTAGGGTTATAAAAAATCGGAAACTTGCAACAAAAATCGGAGCAGTCAGTATTGTAGGCTCTTTCACAAGCTCTTTCCAACAGTGCAAAGTCTGCGCCGATTGAGCGTCCCTATGAAAAGTTATGATTTTCGAGCAAGCAATACAAAAGGGCGAATTTGATTTATTTTGGCATTTTTCAGGGAATTCATAACTTTTCACAGAGACGCTCAATCGGTGCAAACTTTGCACTGTTGGAAAGAGCTCGTGAAAGAGCCTACAATACTGACTGCTCCGATTTTTGTTGCAAGTCACCGATTTTTTATAACCCTCACGAAAAATTCAAATTTTGAGTGATTTTGGTTTTGAGCTTCTATCTCCTTTGTTTGTATACATTAACGAACAGTTCAAGTACGGTTGCAAAGAGCATGAGTTCTTCTCTTATAAAAATTTAGATCTTGCAGATTCGTTGAGAATTCAACAAGTTATGGATTTTTGAATTTGTTGCGAAAGAACTTTTGCACCAACCTATAAAACTTGTAGCGCTGCGTCTGAGCTGATTATAGGAGTTACTGAAGATCTGGATTGTTGGAAACAAAGTCTCATGGGAGCTTTATTGAATGATTTATGTATACAACAATTTACTGGAGCGAATATGGCCTTGATCAGCTTGCAGAGCTTTCAGCGCATATCACATCTGCAGAGTTTTTTACCATTAAAAAACTTCAGCTCATCCGCTAAGACAAATTCCTTCACACTGGCGCATCCATCTCCTAGAGGACACTTTGAGCATGGTTTTCTTTTTCGTAAATTTTGGCAGTGATTATGTCTCATCTAGAATTGTTTCTATATTTGTCTTGACCATGCACGGTGTAAATTGACCTACACTTGTTTTTATAGTTGCAGGCTACAAATTTCCATTCGGGACGAATTTCCACTGCACATCCAATACGCTTCGTTTCATCCGATACCATCTGGAAACAGGAAATGTTAGAATGTACCCTCGAGCAGACAAAGTTGCTTTGTGTCTTTGCTTTGCCTGCACCGTCCCATGGTCGTGCCAACGCCGCTAACGCCGCGCCACGTTGAGTTATTGCGGTTCCTTAAGACACTGGCACGACACTGGCACGCCCTGGCACAATCAACTCTGACAAATGATGTGCCTACTTCACTATACTACGATAAATCTCGCAACGGCCGAGCACCTGAGTGCAGTGTCCAATCTTTCTTGGACGTTCAAAAAGTTTCATCGTAAGCATATTTTCTTGTCCAACACCGTATTTTCCTAATTCTGCAAACCATGTTCTTGATGCCTGTAAAAGTTTCCGGAGCCCTGATTAGCTTTCGACTATTTCAAACCTACATCCGCAGCTGCTTTGTCTTTGCTGTAGGGAGGCTGCGATAAATTCTCTCCGACTGAAGAGCCTGAATGACTCCATTCATAATTGTAAGCGTGAGCCACTGCTTCCTTCTCCACGTGCACTCGTATCGCTAATTTAGATAGAAGATGTCATCCGAAGCGTCCAAGGAAGAGGTACCAATTTAAACATCTTTGCGGCCGGGAGCAAATCTTCCTATCGCGTCTTTAACTTTGCTTTTAAAAACCGTGGATATTTTTTTGATGACAGTCACCACTCAAAAATAGCTTCACTCTTCTGAACGTGTGTGCAAATCCAAAAAATTTTGCCTCACCTCGTCAATCTACCATTACTCTAAGGGTAAATATCTCAGACTGAAAGTTGTTGGAAAAAGAAGACGTAAAGCTTGCACTCTTCCGCTCAACACCGAAATTTTCAGTCGTTTGGTTTCGGGAGATTTTCAGAAAAGGTGTCCTTTACAGATCTAATACGGATGCGGGAAAAGGCTTACTGGTGTATAGACGATACAGACGATCCTTCTGATAGACTTTCTGCTTGGCAATCTTTATCAAACGAAAACCCTCCTTATGTCTCTAAACAAATACGTATTGTTGGCGCTTTTAGCTTACAGAATTACCAGGTGTGCTTGACTACATTACTTTTCTTTATCGAAGTTATCAAATTGATTTTAAATACGATTCTACTTGCACATTGCGATTTTTGTGTGGCTAGCAACAAGGCAGGAAACAGTTTATTTAAGACAGTGCACTTTGCGGTTTTATCTGCACTTTCACGAGAAAGTTAGAAGCAGTATAGGAATTTTTAGCACATCCTGCTTACGGCTGCTATTCAAGATTGTGCTTGCTTGATAAATTTTGAGCATCTGGCGAATGTAATCCGCAATTTGTTATGATTGTTACATTTCAGCGTGCAGCATAGCCATGCTGCTACATCTTCTTATCTTTCTCTAAAAAGTTATGAGCGCAAAAGGAAGCTCTGTTTCAAGCAGGAAAATGTTCTTCCAAATAGGAAGTTTCCAAAGTTGCAGTTGCATAGTGCCCAATAGATTTCTGAATACTTATAACACGGCCGAAATCGCCATAGTCGATTGAAGCAGCAACGGCACGATGCAGTAAAGTAACAGCACATATAGAGCTGGCACATTTGCAACCATTAGCTTCTATCCATGTGTTAATACCAATTTTATCCGTAGAATTTACTTCACGATGTCAAGTCAAAGGTCGGAAACTTTCGCACATTGGAGCAACTAAAATTTTGACACTCCCATCGTAGTAAATCTAGGAGCCTCTACCTGACTGTATGCTCAGAATTGAAAGTAATGACACGCTCTCTGCAGTAAATATTTGGTCTCGTAGGACTGGACGAGATGTCATGGTGTATAGAATATTTTCAAAATGCTAGTCTTCCAAGAATCAAAGTGCTCCTTGGCTCAGCAGCTTTTGATTAGGATTTTCAAGATTTTGTGCTCAAGATTTCGTCATCATTTTCTAAAAGACTAAGAACGTACACAATGCTAAAATGAGAAAAGAAAAGCTCATTTTTATGTCTTAGATGAGAACTTTTACCTCTCTTTTCCATGTGCAATGCTCGAAATTCCTAAGACTGCTTTATATGCGTCAATTACACTCATAATCCGCATTTCTCCAGAGATCTTGTAACTGATTTATTATTGAAAAACAAAAACTGGTCACTTCGGAACTATGTATTTAGAGTCTTACTGCACCGTCACACTGCTACTCCATATTCTCTGAAAGTATACTTGTACTACTGGCTGTACTGTGCCCCAATAAAAAAGCTATTGCAACGTACCAAATGTGCATAAGCGGCAAGAGGAGATTGTCCAATAGCCCGAAGTTGTTTTGGAGCTGCTGAAGATATTGTGGATTTTGAGCGTGGTGGTGATGATGGTAATGAATATTTCCGGGGAATCCTAAATAATCAACAAATGACAATGTCTCAGCTTTTTCTAACAAGGGAATGGTCGAAAGTCGAAGTTGCTAATCCATACAGGCTGCATACCATTAGATGCGGCATAAAACGCTGATTCTAAATCTGTCTTCCTCATCTGCAGAGCGCTTTTGTGGACGAAATTATAAGCCGTTGAAGACCATTATTTTGCTAAGAAATTGTGCGTGTAAAGTGCAAACTTGGCCGTACAAAGCCATTCTCGACTAAGTGTTGGACTAAAACGTGCAACTAGGCCAGTTCATATAACCCGTACCTAGAGGTGAGCTGAAACAGCAATAATGTGCCAATTTCGCAATTTTTGTACATGGTTTTTTCGCAATAAAGCTGCTCATAACTTCCCCTACAAAAGCGCTCTGCAATTATGGAAGACAGATTTGAAATTAGCATTTTATGCTGCATCGAACGGTATACAGCTTGTATGGATTGGCCACTTCGACTTCTGACCATTCCCTTGTAAGTCAGGGTTCAAGGAGGATTTCTTATTCAATTACAGTAAGTTATGACTTCAACTCTTACCCCAAAGTTGTGCGGAAATGCTGACAACGATAACGAAGAGAAAGACCAGGACCACTGTCTTCATTTTCCTGAAGATTATCAGCTAATCACTTCTGGTTTACTTTCACTAGGAAACTAATTATGCTGTCCTATGATCGCCTCAACATGAATTTTGATATTTTCAAGGCATATTCATTTTGACTGTTTCAGCCATATTATTAACAACATTATTTGAATAACGGTTCTATGCTGAAACTCAGAAACGAATTTTGTCAGAAGGTTTAGACGATGTATCCTTCAGTACAAGTAAGTTGTGGAAAGCTTTCCTCAGGAAATCTCGATTTTAATCACAGAGAAGAACTATGTTTTTTAAACAGTAGAAATCAGGTAGAAAAATAATGGTGATTTGCAGCGATCTACCTGTTTGACTAAGAGCTGTTACGCAGCAGTACTGTTCTTTGGAAAATGGAAAATAAACTCCGAACAGCTGCAGAAAAGGAAATGATTTGAATGCCTCAGGCGTCATACCCAGTTCGCTTCCGCTGGCATTTTATATCCGTCACTTGAGATCAGTTGAAGCCCTTGTTAACTAGTTTCACCTTCCTTTAGTGGGATGAATCTAATTACTTCATTTGCTTTTGAGCTTCTTACCATAAGTTCTTAGCTACGGCCTTAGTTCCAGTTTAGCTTTCCCATATGCACCCATTGAAGCATCATTGACCTTAGATTTCGCTATGTAGAGCGGATGAGATTAGCGTAGATTTTTATAACAATCGCTCGATGTATCTTTTGGTCTGGTCATACCGGATTCGGCCTTTTGCTTTTTAAAATTAGACAGATCATACAGCCGAGAAATTCTCAGCATTTGTTGCTCTTAGTGCCTGCTAATGCAATGAGATTCTCAACTTATTTGAACTTGTGTATATCGACCAACTAATGAGTTTGTTCCGATATTCCCGATTAATCGTCTTGAGCATGTCTGTTCCGAGTACTTGATAATGAGCTTTCGAAACTAGAGCTTCACAGAAGTTGTAGTATTTGCAAAGAGCTGAATCGAGCGTATATCTAAAAGCACGCTCTGGAATATGTAAACGCATGAATTCGTGCACCTCCCTCTTCATGTTAAGGGATCACATGAAAGGGCTACTTTTTCCTACTAATTTTCAGAGAGATTCTTTGGTAATTTCTGATCATCGCAATAGCAGTTGGGTTATTGGTGCAGCAAACATTTTCTAGTAAGTCATAAAATATACTACACAGTGATGTAGTTTTCCGTACATTAGATTAGAACATACGTCTTGCACCAAAAAATCAAAATTTATTTGAAAATGCTCACGGCAGCGTTTAAATCTGCATAATATATTTTTGTATGTGATTTATGCCGTATTTTATCGTGTACATTAGAGAATCTATATCGATCCATATCGATACTCGAAACTAAGAATTCGAAAATTACAACCTATTATAGAGACTGCTTACCAGCACCATCTTGGTTGAAAAGCGTAGATAAAACTCAAATAAAAAGTATGTTTTGAAGTCCCTGGAATTTCTAGAATTTTTGAAAGTCGAAAGCTGGAAAAACGCATTTTGAGTTTTTGCATTGAACACGTTCTGTTGCCGCGATATGACAATTATTATTCGCTTCAAGAACATTTAGAAAGAGCAATGTTTTTTATTATATTAATTAAAACAGATTCATTGAGCCTGGAGAAGATTACAGAATTTTGGTAGGTTTTGGTGAGATACTTGTGTCATAACCAAATACAAAGGACATCTCATAAGCAATCTGTAGTTCGCAAATACTGGGTAAAGTAACCCAGATTGGCAAAGTGTTGCTAGGAGTTCTTCTGTGTACCCACAGTGAAAATAAAAACATGCCAAGAAGTTGGCAACTAAGCAAGACCTGTCACTCGCAAGGAAGTCGAAATCATTTTTTTTCGACGAGGCAAGATTTGACCTTCGACACGCAGGCTAGTGTTTGGCATTCGAGCCTTAACCCTCAAAAATTCTCAAACCATCATATTGCAAATTTTAAATAGTGAGAACTTTACTACCCTAATGTGGCACTTCAATGAAATGAGGTATAAGACAGAAATATCTTTACAGCTAATGAGATTATTCTACGGGAGCAGGCCCATTTACTCTACGTAAATTCTCCTCCTAATGTGTGCAATTGCACCTTTTCAGGACATGGTTATGGAAGAAGGTTTTCCCTTCTTCTAACTCTTTTCTGTTGTTGACTAGACATAATTTGTTTGAGGAAGCTTAAATGATGACATGTCATGCACTTTTTTCCTTGGAGACCTGCATCTAATACCAAGTATCCAGAAATATTTGCGCAATATAGCAAAGAAACTTGACGACTGATGGGCAAAATAAACTTCTATAACTCCATTGTGAAGTTTTTTAGGTGTAGTAGACTATAATATCGCAAGTGAACAAACGCACTCGCCTTGCAATCACATCATACTCTAAATCTTTTGCTGAGAATTCATAAAATCAATGTTCCTGTGCTGCTCCGCGCATCTTCTTAGATGATCACCACTATGTTGTTGACATGAAAACATCCATAACTTTCGCTTTTGATATCTTTATCATGTTCATCAAGAGAACATATGCACCAATATATATGTACATATCCATAAATACACGAATTTTTTAGAGATCGGAGATCACCGGTACATAAAATATAGAGTTACGCACTGAGAGACTTCTGGCAATTGAATGCGAATAAATCGTTTTGCGATCACATGTTTCAAACGCTTTTCCAGTATGGGGGAGGACGGTGATGAAAGTAGCCGTGAGGCCTTCGATGGAATGGTCGTGTTCCTTAAAAAATGAAACTTATAAAAAAGCGCTATTGTACAATGATTTTTGGGTATGCGAAGCATACGTCGTCCGTAAGGAGGATGCCTTCCGGGAAAGTAAACATTGCGTCTCCCATATCGCCCGTATCGATGAGGGCGCCTTCCAGCTAAGCTATCGAAAAGACCAAATGGAATCACTGAAAAATAATTCGATTTAGACTAGTTAACTGGTTGTGAGCATTTGCTTATGCGTCCATAGGCTATATATCAGTATATTACAAGCATTTCACGGAGAAAGTAGAGACGCACGGCTTTTGAAATTTCTGCCTTTGAAAGTTCTTAGTAACAGTGCACAAGTAAGGGATGATATATTGAAAGTATTACGTTCTTACGACTAGATTCCACGAGTTGATTTGCCCAAAAATCAAAGAGACTCTGCTTTACGGTATCCCTATACTTTTGGGGCTTTTCTTGAATGCCACTGGTGGTTCTTCTAGGATTTCCGTTCGGAGGGAGGGTGGGGGGAAGGAAGGAACGCGACGAAATTTTCTCTTGCATGAAGGTGCGTTAGTCAGAATTCCGAAAAAAAAATTTTGGGATTCCAATCAGTTTATTTGGGCACGTGACCCAAAAATTTTATGAAAAATGGACGTGCTTCCGTAAAATTTTTCGCAAGGCTTATTTCATTTTTCCAACAAATTGCAAAAATTATTTTAATTATTTACAAGTACAAAGGAGTCACTTGCGCAATTTTATGATCCATGCAAGTAACTTATAAAAATTTCGCGACCCATTTCCGGGGGAGGAGGCGTAGTACCCCTGGCGTAGAAACAAGTTAACCACCATTAAGCAGCAGTTATAAGGTTTCCTTTGATTAAATTGATGCAGGTTCCTCAGGTGCCTAATTATAACAAGACTTCGCCAACATCCCCAGACTTGACCCGTTTCCAGGAAAAAATTCGGCAATTCGAACAGCTTTTCAACCTAAAGGCAGACTGAACTTGCGTAATAAACGTCGCTTTTCAAGAAGTGCTTTTACTTGGACCATGCGTCATTGATTCTTCTTAATTGGGTACCTATGAATTATCTTTGACCATACTCACGGAAATCGTAGGCGAACCCAAATATGGAGCCTGTGACGTACGCAATCACCGTTAAGAGAAGGACGACAGTTCGAAGGTCCACCATATTCGTCAGTGTCAGACTCTGTAATTGAACTGATAGAACTTTCTGCATCCAGTAGAGAGTCAAATGTGTAAGAGAAGAAGCAGTATAACAAAACAGAAAGAACAATGCCTGGACAGCATGGTAGTTTCCCGCAAATTCTATCGACTAGGTCAATAGATCGTTACCAGAAGATAACAGCAAGTGTTCGTGTATCTGAATTTTTGACCAATCTACCGTGAACCCGCGTAACTCAGAATATGGCGCTACCGCAAATAAGCAAGTGGAGTTGTGATCTAAATCGTTACCAAATAATGCTGAGCAAGGTTTCAGGAAAAATCGTGTTTATGACTTCAAAGTATTTTTTAGCGGAATAATCATCCACATCTGTTATCTTGCAGCAACTCCAGAACTCCAGACCATGACCTCTGCAGTCCCCCCCCCCCGTATTTACATATATTTCAACCGAATAATGGAACTGTCTTCGCGATTATGAGATATGGTCAGCAAGTGTAGTGCCCTTCCCAAATTTTTCTTAAGAATCTTAGCCTTCTCAAAGGCCTTCCGCTTTTTATCCGCAGAGTGTAACTAGCCAGTGCCAATACTATTCTAGAAGGTCTACATTTTGATTTATAGTGCCATATGACACGTCCGTCCATGACTCATTAAAAAAATGATGTATAACGAAATGTTGTGGCAAAAATACAATACCACTCTCAGAATGTGCGAAATTTCCGGAAATTCCGTGGAATTCCCGAAAATTTTGCACACTGAGAGTGGTATTGCAGTGCCTGATTCCTTCAGTGTTCAACTGAATACTCTTTGTTGTCCAATATCATTGAAAACTAACTTACACGAAGTTTAATTTCTTATTTTGAAACTGGGCTGTTCTCGACTTATCCTTGTTAGGATCCTTAGAGAGGAATGCCAAAAAATTAGCTTTTTGCTTAGAATTCTAAATTTTCTTTTTGTTTTTTTTTACAACACTGTATGTAGCTGGCATCATTCTAGAAGATGCTTCAAATTCATTAAATGAGCGTGGCGAGACTGCGGTTGAATCCTTGAGGATATCTTGACATCTTTTAGAAAAGTTAGTGGCACTTAGTCCTGAACTTCCCCCCTCGCACCCCCTTCCCCCCCCCCCCCCCACGATTTTAACTCATTCGTTGGCGGATCCCAATCATCGCAGGTTCTGCTTCATGGTAATTAGCGGTATATTGTCTCCAATGAAGCTTGACCAATGATTACACTCGTTAGCCATCATTCATGCCTATTTTTGTGCTAAAGCTGTGCCACTGACCTTACGGGACTCAAAGGAAAAGTACCGATAGAAATACGCTTTCAAACTCTTACAAGCATGGTTGTGAAAGGAAACAGTGAAATACGCTGATATTCATGTTCATTGCTCTAGGAATTGGTATAAAATCATTGCGCTAAAAAAGAAGTTAAAGAAATAACATTATCTTATAATATTTCTTATGACAAAGCATGTATGTAGAATCTCTGAGGATGAAGTTGCGATGAAATATACCTTAAAATGTTTCAGGTCTTTATTCATTGACGGCACCCTGAATGTGTCATAGAGACTAATGTTTTAAAAGTTTTGCAATGTACTGGAGACCGTTGGAATTTTCCCACATATTCCGCTGACGGTGTGAAATTCTGGAACCTCCATGTTTTCTCCTATAGAGGATCCTCGAGTAAGATGCGAGCCATCTGAAGCTTCTTAATTATCTAGTCCACTGCTGCTCCATCGAAATCTCATTTCCAAAAGCTTGTTCACAGTTTTTATGTGGTGGGAGATGTGAGTGTAAACAAAGCTTTCTCATGAAACTTCATGTTGAAGTTTCAACCAATAAGAACAAAGAAATCTCCATCGAAGCGGATTTTTACTCATGTGATGACTTTGAGTCATAACTATTCTGCACGTAGTTCATTCGGAGTTGATCGATGTAAATTCGAGATTTGAAGTAAGAATGGCAAAATTGATTCATTCGGAATGTGGACTTTTCGTTTGAAAAGTGTGTGTTTCTCAAATGCTAATTGCCCATAATATCAATTTTTGCTTTTTTATTGGACCCTTAGGAAGAAACTTCAGAACCTATCGATATTCTTGTCTATGATTGAGATTAATAAATTGCACTTCGTTACATATGGATTCTCTGTCAATTGAGCAGTGGATATTGGTGATCTGAATGGGTCAGTACAAGTAAAGAAAAAATTTTTACTTAACCCCGCCAAGAAATTCGCCAAACTTCTTTAGTGACAGAACAGAATCTGTTCAAATCGACAAAATCCTCTTGAGCCAGTAGTCGATTGTTCTCATCTCATTTTGCAGCTATGTTTAGCGGGATGATGGACCTAGAGGATTAAGATGTGCTTAGTCATAACTCATGCAGAATCCTAAGCCTTTTTGGGATACCACTACACTAAATAATGAAAGATGGAACGAGGTTTTGGAGGCCGAATTAAGTCTCAACATTATTCATAGCTTGTCAAGCATCCGTCTCTTAGGGAAATAGTACCTAATCCGATTTCACTGATAGCAAACGGTTCTCGTGGACAATCGTCGAAACAATAAAGAGCATGGAAAAAAGTCCATTTTATGATAATCAGCTTTTGCATCGAGTCAAGGAATGATTTTTGTGGTTGATTTTTATTTTTAATTAATCCTCAACATTATTCATAGCTTGTCAAGCATCTGTCTCTTACGGAAATAGTATCTAATCCGATTTCAGTGATAGCAAAGGGTTTTCGTGGACAATCGTCGAAACAATAAAGAGCACGGAAGAAAGTCCATCCTATTAATCAGCTTTTGCATCGAGTCAAGGAATGATTTTTGTGGTTGATTTTCATCTCCTCAACATTATTCATAGCTTGTCAAGCATCTGTCTCTTACGGAAATAGTATCTAATCCGATTTCAGTGATAGCAGGTTCTCTTGGACAATCGTCGAAACAATAAAGAGCATGGAAAAAAGTTTATCTTATGATTAATCAGCCTTTGCATCGAGTCAAGGAATGATTTTTGTGGTTGATTTTTATCTCCTTAACATTATTCATAGCTTGTCAAGCATCTGTCTCTTACTGAAATAGTACCTAATCCGATTTCAGTGATAGCAAATGGTTCTCGTGGAAAGTCGTCGAAACAATAAAGAGCATGGAAAAAAGTCCATCTTATGATTAATCAGCTTTTGCATCGAATCTAGGAATGATTTTTGTGGTTGATTTTTATTTTCAATTAAGCCTCAAGATTATTCATAGCTTGTCAAGCATCTGTCTCTTACGGAAATAGTATCTAATCCGATTTCAGTGATAGCAAACGGTTCTCTTGGACAATCGTCGAAACAATAAAGAGCATGGAAAAAAGTCCATCTTATGATCAATCAGCATCGAGTCAAGGAATGATTTTTATGGTTGATTTTTATCTTTTCTGCTGCAATTTGCGACGATTTCGATGCCTTTTGAGCAACCTTTCTGGAAAAACTTTATCTGCTCTTCGGCTCAGTTCAAATAAAAGGGAATTTCTAGCTAAACACATTTAATCGATGTGAATATCGTATTTTTCATTGTCCTTCATTGTACATGTCACCAGCTCCATTGCCTTCATTGCCGAATGATCGCATCCAGCCGTTGAGGCGTCTTCCGCCATAATACCAACGAGGGCGAACAACTGAAAAATGAGATATTCAGGGGATAATGAAAGGCTTTTCGCTTGAAGAGCATCTTTGCTAATTCAAAGGGTCTAACATGATTACAACTTACATCCCCATCCAATTTCGCCACCCGCTACGCACATAATAAGAGCAACCAGAAGAAGCAGGAAGACAGCACGCTGCATAATGGAGTTCTGGAAAAATTTAATAGTTAATTTTCGGTCAACGATTTTCTAAATCATCCCCTCCAAGCAGAAGAAAAGGAGATGCATAATTGAACCAAGATTGTTGCAAAAGGCTTAGCGAAGCGAAAAATTCATGAAAGAAAAAATGAGAGATTGTAGAGCATATTCAAGTTTTCAAAAAAAGTTGACCATTGTATACACCCGCGAAGTTCAGGGTGGCAATTTAAAATGACCATCTTTCTTAAAATAGTAACAGATATCTTCTGAAATAAAGTTTGGTTTCCAGTTGAGTATAAAATGAGTCTTGAGCTTTTGCAAACCAGATGAATGCACTAAAATTCACCAGACATCTAAAGATTGAAATCATTGCCAGAAAGAATTTGTCAAAAAGTATAATCAAGACTCAAATGATTCATGCTTTCAAAGTTTTGATCTTCTGGTAACATCTGGCTTTCATTTCAGGACATGGTGAAAAAAAGTTGTATAGAGACCAATGTAAACTTTTTGGAAAGTAAATCTTAGTAGTATATTCCTAGTGTTGCCTAATACGTGAATAGCCAGAAAGGCAAGCTGCTCCGAAAGTTTGAAGCAGGTGACGAACTATCAGTTTCGAAGTTGTCTGGTTATATGCGATCTCCCGATTCCAAAAACTCACACTGAAAACTTTCTTGATATAAAACTATAAGGGTATAATACGCTGTTTTCCGAATGCTGGATCACTCAATTTTTTGTGCTACGTATTGAAAAATAAAGCTCGAATTTTTTCTTCTATCTGCCCATCTGGACGATAGGAATCATTTCCGATACTCATATTCGACCCATCCATTGGGTGGGTAATGCTGTGAGGAACAAAAATCTGATAAAAGTGAGCATCATTTGTTAAGACATGCATTATACTATTTACATGCGTTCATAAGATCTGCCTTTAAAGTCAAATCACAAAGCCTTTAATTGTGTAACACTGCAATTTTCTCAAAATGAGCTTAACCTTGTTTGATTAGATTTTTAGTGCTTTGAAATCCTATGCGTAGTATAACTCAAAAGTGTTCTGCATGCCACTTAGCTTAATTTTAAAACGGGCAGCCTTATTTTGAAAAATGCGGGTAGTGATCATAGATCCATGCCCTCTAAGCTTGCTAAGCCTTGATAAACCTTTGAAGAGGAGTAGAAGGAGAAAAGTCTATAGAGGTCGAAGTTAACAGATGGATAAGCTCAAAAAACTTTTACTGCTAGCAGAACACAAGCGTCATCGTTGCGTGCGATTTTTGTTTTGAGTAAGAAAATGGGTTGGATTGGAAAGTTGTGAGACAAGTATGTCTTGTTTTTCAATGCATTTGATTGATGAGTGAGAGCTCAACGGCGAACAAAGGATTATAGAGCCGTGTTCGCAAGAGGAATAGCCTTTCAGGGCCAAAATGAAGAATTTCCCACAAAAAATATTCTCTCGAGAATATCAATGTTTGGCGTGCAAACAGCTTTGCAAAACAGAAAGTAGGCTTGATTTGTACATGGAAAAACTAACAACAGCTCCAGGAGTGACCGCTAGAAGATATGTTGAGTCAGAATGGTATTATCTCATTACTGGGGCAGATATAGCCACGAATGGAATCTTTTCAATCAAAAAGTTTGTCAAATGCGCGATGGAATGATGCAGTAATCAGGAGCTGATTGCATGCGATATATAATGAATTATTTTGCAGTTTTTGATGTGTTCAGGTATTTTTCAAATGCAAATGACTAATCAATGTGCTGGAGAACCAGTAATGTCAATAAGCAAGTGTGACGTAGTTATTGCACCCAAAACTTACTGGAATTGTAAAAATGCTTGAAAATATTAGATCGTTCCGAAAGTTCTTTCCGTTTTTTTACTTGTCGTAAAAACACGCAGGATGATCGTGAGCAAATGATTGAGACATATTGGTAACTTCTTAAAATCTTCCTTCCCAACCTTTGGAAAAGCTCTGATAGCAGTCATATTGGTTGAACAAAGTGCAATGCAATGCAGTTTTTGGCAGCTATAGCTGACTTTCCAAAATTTTCTGCAAAATATTTTTGAAAATAACAGAATTCCACTTTCGGTCATCCCAAAACTCGTAGAACATCAAAAAACGCACAGCTAAGTGCCTTGTAATGCAGCTTTTCCTTCATTTGATAGGAAGCGGTAAACACTTGATTGCTTTGCAAAATCAGTGTATAAACATAATCGATTTTTGAAACTTCCAAATTCCAAAGTTGTCAGTGTTTGAAGCGTTTGAGTATTTTGGATCTCCGCAACAATGGTGACTTTTGAACAATTCCCTTGAAAAATACTGAGAAACTTACTGGAGATGCCGAAAATTTGTGTTGCATTGCACTTTGTTTAGCTATCTAAATGCTATCGTAGCTTCTCAAAAGTTCAAAATAAAGATATTGAAAATTGCCGAAGTTGGGCATGGTAAAAACCATGGGTTGAAAATTTCGGCGATTATTTTAGTGACTACAAGAGTAACGAGCACAGGAACATAAGTGCTTAAAAGGGGAAAAAAGGCTGCGTCGGATAGTGTTTGAAAGGTCCTTGTGCCTTTGTCCCACGTGTTTTTATGATAGTTTCGAAAACGGTAAAAACTTTCGGAATGACCTAACACTTAGGTTGTCCCTTAAATTTATTCGGTTTTTTGATCGCTCACCAAATTTACAGAACACTAATCAAAGAGCGACTACAGTACCAACACTGCCGCCTTGAAATCCTACGATTTAAACGCGTTGTCGCGCCGGAAGTGCCGCATCGCGATAGTTCGCTTGTACTTCAACCAATCGCATTCTAGTTTGAATATTTGGAATCAGCGCCTTCTGATCTATCTAAAAGTGCTTTTAAAAATTTCAAAATCCTGTGTGTAAAGATTTTTTTTCTGGGCCTTCGGCGTTATAAACGCATTTTCGCGTTGGTATCGCCGCATCGGCATAACTCTTTTCAACTTCAATCTATTGAATTCTAGTTTAAATATTTGGAATCAGCGTTCCCTAAGCTACCCAAATAACTTTTTAAAAAATTTGAAATACTGCTCACAAGCTTTTTTTTTCGTGCCCAGCGGCGGTTTAAACGCGATGTCGCACTGAAAGTGCCGCATTACCGTAACTCTGTTCAAAATTCTTCAACTAGAATTTTGATTTAATATTTGAAACCGGCATCATTTTGTCTAGCCATGTGTCAATTTAAACTCTACAGATTCCTTTGTCTTGATTCCTTTTCAAATTATGAACGGCGATGTAAACGCAAAATGGCGTTGGAAAGGCCGGAATGGTGTAACTTTCTTTATATATGTCGTATCAAATTTTAATCTGGATTTTCGAAATCAGCGAGGTTTGAGCTATCCAAACATGTAATTAAAGTTGGAAAAATCAAAAAAAATTTTCACTCTGTGCTCTAGATTTTGGTTGGTCCCTCGCATCGTCATAATTAGCCAGGCTGGCCTAGGCCTTGGCTGCAGTGACCTCACCTTATTGATTTATTATCATAATCGCAACAAACTATTGGTACTATGTGAAACTGGAATTGATATTTTCATCCATACACTTCGGAGAAATTAGGAATTGCGGAATTTGCAATTTTAAAATTTTGAAATTTTTAATTTTTTAAAATTTTAAAATTTTCATTGTACTTATCCGATTTTAAAGAATCATCTGTTTGAGACATTATTTGCCATACTTTGAATCATCCATGACAGGTCAATTATTCAGTATATCACACTTAGACCTTCCAGTCTGGATGAAGCAATGTAATTTTATGAAATTCAAGGTTGCTTCCTCTTTTTTCTTTTCTTCTTCTTTTGCTCGACTCACACCTAGTAGTTTAGACTTCCATAATTTTGAGTCTTTGATTTTTAAGAGCGTTTGAGAGATTTATATTTTTAAAGTTTTTTTAATTTTTTTGTTTTTATTTTTCTTTCACAAAACATTTATTCATCGGGCGTGAAAATCATTCTCAATTGTATTCCGATTTCAGATCCGACGACAATGCTGACTTCTTTTCCATCCATCATGTGTTGAACGACGGGCGGCGTGGCAGGAGTTCCCAAAGCCTAGCCGCTTTTCCTCGCAGGGGTACTTGGCACCTCCAGAAATCCCTTAAAGGACATCACACCTTCTCGGGGCCAAAGGGCGGCTCCGCCCATCACTCTTCCCTCTAGATGCCCTCATTCTAAATTGTGTACACACACTGCAAGACATGCTTCATTGTATATGAGGACGATAGAATGAAACATAAAAAAATTTCTAGGTTTCAAAAGGTTTAGAATCCATAAACGACTGCAGCTGAATTTCGAGTTATGTTTTACTCATATATTTGGATAGATTAACGCTTCCTTAGAAACTTTTAAGTGTGCTTGAGTAAGTTTGTGAGACATATCGCATTCATATAAATTAAGCAGAAGTTATGTCTTCCAATCACGGTATATAACAGAGATTAGATTACTTTACGAAAGTTCTATTCAAAATCAACTAAGAATAGCGAATTACCATATCTTGCAAATCCAGCGTCGTGTTTGGAACTCTTAGTCAACTCTTTGATCACGCGACGAAGTTTGGTATTCTAGTACATCGATTGTAGAAAATACTACACTTGAGAATTTCTTTATGGTAATTTGGGCCTTACTGATCATTAGAGTAATCGGAATGAAAAACTCATTCGAATATATGATGGCAGACGATAAATAAGTATGTGTTCAATATCCTATCAGTTGGATAAAGCGTTAAATGCTTGTTCGAAAATTTTGATATATTTCTTTCAAAATAGGTCCTTCTATGTTGAGAAAGAACTGGGTTCTCAATTCTCAAACTCCTGATGCTAAATTACTTTAATCAGATGACCAGTAATGCACAATTGTTCGATTAGATCCAATTGGATCCACAATTGGTCGACCAGATGTCAAATAACCAAATTTTCCATTCAAAAAATTCCCTGCTAGTTTTCTTCTCTTAAAGTAATTCATATGCTTTTTTATGGAACGATGGCACAGCAGAAGTTTCCAAGCCG